ATGCCTTTTCATCTAACCCTCAACCATTATATGCTGATGGACAATATGGACACGTTGGCCCTTCCTCCAACACTCAAGAACATGTTAGGAGACTTGGACACATGCGAACTGAATCTCCTTCAGTTCCATCTCCTTTAGATCCATATCCTTCCGTTCCACCTTATTATTCAGCGCAACAATCGAATAATGAGGAAACACAGGTGAAGAAGATAACTGATTCATGATATGTCCATTTGGAGATTCGTAAGTACTTCATTTTTTTAAGTATATGTAATATTTATGATTTTAGATATGGATGTCAACTGAATTGTCGATGTTGCACAATAACCGTATGTTTGCAGATTCACGGATGCTACGTTTGTTGTGAGGGAACTGAATAAAATAGTTAAAAACTATTGGATGGGGCAGTATATTAATTACAGCAATGCTCCACAAGAAGTGAAAGATTTGTGGTGGAATGAGTTCAAGGTAAGTTTTAGATATTCTATTTTCTCACCAACTAAGTTCGGTGTAGTATATTGATGGTCAAGAATGATGTAAAGGGACCAGAACAACTCTTTAGTTTTAGGTACTAAAGGGACCAGATATTTTCCCCGAGATGAACTTTACAAAATCTATCGCCGAATTGTTTGGTGCATGGTAATGGATATGTGACCATCATAATAACTTTCAGTTGTTTTTGTATTGATTGCAGCGGAAGTTCAGGTGGGATGAAGAGGAAGAGAATGAAGTGAGAAGAATTTTTAAGAAGAAAGTCAGTGATCACATACGAAATGTGATGAATAGAGCGAAGATCAAGCAAGTGAAGCCGGCTTTCATTACAGCTGACAATTGGACGGAAATTAACAGAATTTGGGAAACTGAAAAGAATCAGAAAATCAGTGAGCAAAATAAAAAGAATCGATCTTCTAGTTCTAGTGAAGGGTCTGCCACATATGCTGAGGGCTCTATCAACATTGGAGAGCATCGAAAACGAATGGTAAGTCTGTTAAATAAGTTATAAGTTAATTTAATTCAATTACTCATGTTCACATTTTGTAGGCACATGAATTGGGGACGGAACCGACATTTGCAGCTATATTTGAACGCACATTTCAAAAAAAAGATAAGACATGGACTAGCGATCGAGCAAAAGCTATTAAGGTACGTAAGGTTATACTTTGGACTTTATAGAAACTAGAATGAAAATCGTGAATGCTTTTAATATTTATGGTAGTTATATATATGAAGTTATTTTATTTTCATTTATATTGTTAATGTAGGAAAAATATGATGAACTTTTAATGAGCAATGCTAGTGGTGGTGATGGTGTTGCTGCATCTGAGCCATCAGTTGACAGTATGGCATTATGGGTGGAGGCAACGGGTGGGATGAAAAAAGGAAAAATATTTGGGATGAGATCCTTGTCAAGGGTATACATGACGAATCATGCTGCAACTTCATCATCCAATACGGCTGTCCCAAGGAGGACACGACTTGAGCAGCAAATGACCCAAGAATTGAACCAACTGAAAAATGTACTTGTAGAGAAGGACGAAGAAATAAATGACTTGAAACAACAAATGCAAATCGTTATGCGACACCTCAACCTCCATCACGATGAGGTTCCGCCTGTACCTCCAGCCAATCCAATAGGTGATGGGCACAATGATGAGCGACACAATGATGCTAAGATTGATTATGATGATAATGATTTTCTCAGTCCTTTCTAGTTAAAATTCCCAAAATCAGAGGTAAGCTTGCTTCACAATCTTTTGTGCCATAAGTGCAGTTTCACCCAATATGTTCCTGCCCTACAATTACTTTTTGTGCACAACTTTCTTACAACTAGGTTCTTTGCTTGCGAAAAACTGAAAATTTAGAGATCCTAGGATGACATGCTTGTTACAAAAAATCATGATATTTGAACATTGTAGAAATATATGCCTTAATTGACTTTGAGTCCTCTCTTCCTAGGAATTGGTGTTGGTAATTCACCTCTCTAAGTCATTAAACTATTGAATGTTGTTTGGAGAATGATCTAATTTTTCCTAGGTGACAGAAATACGGTTTACAAGGGTGAAAAACTACAGTAGATATCAAAGTTGACTCATATTCATATGTAAGAACATTGATGTTCGTCCTGAAACGTTTTTTTGTTAACCCTCTTACTTGTTTTTTTATACCTAGTTCCACATCCATGCATAAACGCTTCTTTTATATTCTGGACTGATTGAATATCTTTATTTATGTATCCACATTTCATCAGGTGTCGACAAAAGTGACTGCTTCTGGTGTCCTGCCAAGTACCAAAGCTGCCCAATCTTGTGTCTGGCTTGTTGATTTTTCGTTTTTGAAGCAGAATCTATGATTGTCCCTCCTCCTTTGAATGTTTTGAATGTATTATAAGATTGAATATCAAATAGAATCATGTCAAACTTTGCAACTTTGCATATATCATTATTTTTTGCGGACTAGCGTCTTTCCTTCAGTTATATTTTTCAATTATATGACATTGTGTCTGGTTTGTTCGTTTTCTATTTCTGAAGCGGAATCTATGGTTGTCTCGTGTCCTTTGATTGTTTTGAATATATTACATGATGTTCATTAATGCGTAGCTATTGCTATGGACAAGATTTGATGGCCCAAATGGTATAAAATTTGCGACGAATATTTAGAGACAAATTTTGCGACCATTACAGTTCGTGGCTAATTTACGACGAATAAGTAGTGACGAATTTTGCGACGAATAAAGTTTGTGGCTAATTTGCGACTAATAAATTTTGCGATGAATAAAGCTCGTGGCTAATTTGCGACGAATTTTGGGACGAATAAAGTTCGTGGCTAATTTGCAATGAATTTTGCAACGAATAAAGTTTGTGGCTAATTTGCGACGAATTATTTGAGACGAAATTTCCGACGAATTTTTTGACGAATAAAGTTTGTGGCTAATTTGCGGCGAATTTTGCGACGGATAGTGTTCGTGGCTAATTTGCGACGAATAAAGTTCGTGGCTAATTTGCGACGAATTTTTTTCCGTCACAATTTAGCGACGAAAATTGAAATTTTCCGTCGCAAAATTTTGCGACGTCGTATTAGCGACGGAATTTTTTCCGTCGCTAACTTCGTCGCAAATTCGATTAGCGACGGATTTTGCCAAATTTTTCGTCGCAAAATTCGTCGCTAATCCCTTGTTTTTTTGTAGTGGTGAGAAACCATTCAAGTTGAAAATTTTCTATCCCCAATGGTGGTCTGATCGTTGACTCGAAATCAAAATAATTGATTTATGAAAATGGTTAATATCACAAAAAACTTCAAATTAATACACTTGTGATAAATTTATCCAAAATTAATTCTTTTTATCATAAAAAATCTCAAACTAGTATACATGTGGCAGATTTACCTTAAACTAATTTTTTGACCACCAAAAATCCTAAATTGGTACATTTATAACAAATTTATCCTCTATTAAATTGGATTAATATCACGAAAAACTACAAAATGGTACACCTGTGATAGATGGAGGCTAAAACCCCAAACCAGTAAACCCATCGACTGTCACGTGTCATCCAACTCAGAAATTTGACGGTAAAATTTAACGAAAATTAACAGAGGGTAAAATTATCAGGGGTATACCAATTTGGAGTTTTTTGTGATAAAAAAATTAGTTTGAGATAAATTTGTCACAAGTGTACTAGTTTGGGGTTTTTCGTTGTATTAACTCTTATGAAAATAAAATTTTTATCTTAAAGTGTCTTGGATCAAACCCAGTTATCATTCAAAACTTTGGCTCAATGTCCAATTTGATCCTTGAATTTTGGCCCTTCTCTTCCATGATCGTAGCACTTAGGGCCTGTTTGTTTCAACTTTGAAAATGCTACTTGGGGGAATGCAAATACCTTTGGGTAAAAGCTCATTGGGAAAATGCAAATGATGTTTGGTAAAAATATTTTGTAAAGCTACTTTGGCCAAAATATAGTGTTTGGTGAATTTTTTTGCAAATGGACTTTGAGAATTATCTTATTTATTAAAAAAAAAACTAACCTACCTATCGCCGGAGCCGGAGATAGATCTGGCATCGGCGGCCGTCGCCCAAGGTCAGGCGACCCTCGGCGAGCCAGATCTGCCATCGCCGGCGGTTGCCCGAGGCCAGGCGACCCTCGGCGGGGGTCGCACGACCCAAGCGACGGCCGCCTGAGGTCATGCGCCCTCAGGCGACCGTCGCCTGGGTCGCGCGACCCAGGCCGGCGGCGCCTGGGCAATCGCGCGACCTCCGGCAGCCGTCGCCTGGGTCGTGCGACCTCGCCGGCCTCTCGCAGGCGCGATCCAGGTGCCGGTCGCCCTCCCTCGCTGAAGAAGATGAACAGTAGCATTTGGCAAAGGCTGAAAGCCCAAGGCTGGTCCGGACCAGTTTTGGGCTTTCAGCATTTGAAATGCTAGCATTGGCCAAATGCTGAACCAAACACCCCAGCATTTTGGGAAGGGGCTTTCGAGGCTCAAAGCCCCTTCCCAAAGCTGAACCAAACACCCCCTTAGTCCATTACCCTTCTCCTTCATTGCGTCAAGGGCGTCTCCATCTCCACTGCCAATCTCTCTCTCTCTCTCAGCCACCCACTATTCTCAGGTCATGACCTTTTACATTGAACACCTCTAGGCTTGTGCCATTGCCCTTGTCATCGTAAACTAGCTACCTAATGCAAATGTCTTTCCTCATTTCTGTGTTTAACCCACGAGAAGAAATTGTGTCCGCCCGTAAAAACGCAACACCACGTCGTCTAGTGGAATGGTATTCCACTGATCAAGATTCCCACATCAATAATGCATATTTATATGTATGGCTCCTCGGACGCCGACACACAATATATGCACGTCTTCGCACTCACTTCTCTTAGATAAGCCGTCGAATAAACTCTCTCTCTCTCTCTCTCTCTCTCTCTCTCTCTCTCTCTCTCTCTCTCTCTCTCTCTCTCTCTCTCTCTCTCTCTCTCTCTCAACTCCTTTCGCCCTCTGTTTGTTCTACTATGGCTTCGATAAACTTCATAGCTAGGCCAAACTATGTTTCGCACTCTATCAAAGCATCTTCCAAAAGCTTTGATCATTTGAAAGACTGGTTTGGTCTTGGAAATAAGAATTTGCCCGGGAGGAACGCACGAGGCGACCTTCGAGAACTAACCATCGCGAACGTTGCAAACCAGGCCCCGATCGTCTCTAAACCGTCAACGGGGAAAGAAGCAATGGGCGGCCGGAATCACATCTCGTGGACGAGCATCCCGCAACACTGGTGGGAGGGCGAGTTGGGAGTCGAAGGAGAGATACCTCTCTGGCTGGTGAGTTTGTGTGTGATTTTCTGTAATCTCTCAGTCATGTTTTTGCATGCATGTGATAAGAATCATATCTTTTCACATCCCCTAATCATGTTTCTTGTCCATTCTGCTAGTTTTAATCTTTCCATATGCCAGAATTTGAATTGAAAAGGAAAATTGTTTATTTGTTTGTCCAAAGTCTAGCTAAATAAAAGGGCAGCTTTATCCAATTTTCTTTTGTTTCAATCAAACAAACGACAAGGAAGAAGTACGAGGAAATGATTGAAAGATCTTTGTCACTAAGTTCTTTTCATATATTATCTAAACTTACGGGAAATGTGCCAAAAAAGTCCTAAACCTTTTGTATTGGTGCCAATTTAGTCCTAAACCTTTTTTTGGTGCCAATTCAGTCCTAAACCTTTTGCATTAGTACTAATTCAGTCCTAAACCTTTTTTCTTTGTGTCAATTCAGTCCTTCTGGTCAATTTTGGCCGGATTTACTGACGTGGACGCCGACCGGTCGGCGGCCGGTCACCGACGCTGACTTGGACAACTTTAATAATATTTTAATATTTTTTTGAAATTTTATTAATTTTTTTTCTCTCCCCTCCTTCCAACCGGTCGTCGGACCAACGACCAGCCAGAGGCTAGAGGCCGACGCCGGCGAGGTTCGCTCATGCCAGCCACTGGCGAGGGCGGCCTCGCTCTGGTCGAGGCCCGACCTTGCCAGCTAGTGAGGTCGGGCCTCGCCCAACCGCCGGCGAGGCTCTCCCTCGCCAGCGGCGGCGAAGGTGAGCCTTGCCATGTCTGGACGAGGCCCGACCTCGCCAGATCTGGCAAGGTGGTGCCTCGCCCAGCCGCCGACGAGGCTCAACCTCGCTAGATCCGGCGAGGTCGAGCCTCGCCTAGCCATGGCGAGGTTCAAGCCCTCGCTAGCGGCCTCCGGCGAGGGCGACCCTTGCCAGTGGCCAGCGTGGGCGAGCCTCGCCGGCGCCGACCTCTGGCCTCTGGCCGGTCGCCGGTTCGGCGACCGGCTGGAGGGAGGGGAGAGGAAAGAAAAAGAAAAGAAAAAAATTAATAAAAATTCAAAAAATATATTAAAATATTATTAAAGTTGTCCACGTCAGCGTCGGTGACCGGCCACTAGCCGGTCGACATCCACATCATCAAAATCCGGCCAAAATTGACAGGAAGGACTGAATTGGCACAAAGACAAAAAGTTTATGACTGAATTGGCATCAATGCAAAAGGTTTAGGACTCAATTGGCACCAAAAAAAGGTTTAGGACTAAATTGGCACAAATGCAAAAGGTTTAGGACTGAATTGGCACCAAAAAAAGGTTTAGGACTAAATTGGCACAAATACAAAAGGTTTAGGACTTTTTTGGCACTTTTCCCCTAAACTTACCCTTGGTGTAAGTTAAGCCTATCACAATTCATTAGATGATGGAACACCCTCCATTATGATTAATTATGAACATCACTTAAAGTTATCATTTTACTGGGTTTGTGCGTGTAGACAAAACTAATCAAAGCTGTTTTGTCTCTCCGCCACTAACTATAAATACATATGCTAGTTCTCTTTTCATGTTGCACTAACCAAATTACATTAATTGTACATCTTATTTGTAAATTACGCTAGCTAGACGCTAAAGATTAAGGAACTTTTTTGTGTTCGCACTACCCGAAAAAATCTCCATAAAGAGCGTTTAGATTAGACATTCTAATTTTTGAATTTACTTCCACATTTGAAGTGATATCCCTTTGACGTAAATGTATATATGCTATTTTCTTTTCATGTTTGTCGCGACCAAACTCCCGAGCCCTTTTTTTATCGAACATGCAAAAAAGGGGGGCTCGCCTGGTACGTGCTAAGTCTAGGTTCAGGACTTAACTTGGGCCCTCCCAAGCCCATACCATATCGCGACTTAGGGTTTAAGTATTTAACATGCAAGTGGTTTATACCAAGGAGTTGCCACTAATCGATTTGGGGTGGGTCGATTAGAAATCCAAATAGGGTGATGGGAGAATCACTCTATTCCTACGAACCAGAGATTAACTGAATTCGGGGACTTGGTTACACTAGTTAGATAACTAATGCCCTTTCGGTACCTTTTTATCCTGTTCATTTTATGAAAACATTTGTCAGATAATTTGGATTGATTTTAGGACCTTTCTCCTAACATGTGAGGTGATCAAGCGAGTGCATAATCAGAAACGATTAGCAGTCAGGAACACAACAATTCATGCAGCCTAAGGTTCTAATCTTAACTAAGTCAGATGACATTCAAAAACACAACAGCTCATGCAATTGTATTAAAAACATGCATAACAATACAACGGTAATAAAAATAACATGCAAAATATTACCGCGCAATCTTAGGCTTGTCTAATTTAAACAAGACAAAAATGTGCATAATAATACTACAATAAATTAAACATTTAGAATATATCACACAAATTTTTTAAAAAATATATTTTTTTATTATTTTTTTTGATTTTTTTAAGGAAAAATAATAATAATAATAATAATAATAATAATAATAATAATAATAATAATAATAATACGGAAAAAAAAATTTCTAAATTTTTTTTTTATTTTTGTTTAATACAAAAAATTTTAAAAAAATTTTAAAAATAATAATAAAATAATGAAAATGGGTCGGGTCGCGGATTCGGACCGGGTCGGAACCGACCCGGGTCAACGGATCCGACCCGGGCGTTGACCCGGGTCAGATCGGTCAATCCGGATCGGGTCGGAACCGACCCGGGTCAATGGATCCGACCCGGGCGTTGACCCGGGTCAGATCTGTTAATCCGAGTCGGTCGGAACCGACCCGAGTCAACGGATCCGACCCGTGCGTTGACCCGGGTCGGATCTGTTGAATCGGGTCGAATCCGACCTGAACATACAGACCCGCGGGGAGGGGGCGCCGGAGAGGCCAAAATTGGCCATCCGCCGGCTGACCCAGGCTAGCGCCGCCCCCAAATCGCCCTACTAGGACTGCCTGTGGGCTGTGCCACTCACCTGAGCCGCCGTCGGACCACCGTTCGCCGGCCGGCGATCAAACAAAAACCAGCCTGGTTGAGGCATTTCGTCGAACGCCTGGCGGGTGCGTGGAAAAACGAGGGATTCCGACCTCCTCCGGCAATCCAGTCGACTCCGGCGGCTTGGGTTCACCTCCGACGGCGACTAGGGATCGAGACCGACGACGGTATGGGCCGAGATTTGCGCGAAACGGCCGGCGCAAGTCCCGGCCTAACTACGCTAAAAAACAGGGGAAAACAAAGGGGCTTCTCGGCCGAGGGCTCACCGGTCGACGGCGCGTCTGGGTGGCCTTCCGGCTGCTCCATGGGCGACGGCGACGCTGCTGGTTCTCCTTCTTGCTCCGACGAACACTCGGTTTGCTCTTTCTCTCTCTCTATATTCTCACTCTCTCTCTGTTCTCTCTCTCACTGTTTCGCCGACAGGGGGCTCTCTATCTCTCTCTCTGTATCGCCGCCGTCGGCTCGGCGGCGGGGATGGATGGCTGAGGCGCGGTGGTTGCTAGAAGAGCTCTCAGTTTCTTCTGTTTCGCTCCGTCTCCCTCTTTCTCTGTTTTTCTCTCTACATCTCAAAACGGCCGATCGGGGCCTCTCTCTCTCTCTTCGGCTTTTATAGGCGGCGTCCCCCGGCTCCGTTGCGTCGGCAATGACGACGGCCTGCACCGGCCTACGCCACCCCACGACTTTCGTGGCCATGGCAGGGCGGTGTAGAGCAGAGCAGAGCAGGGGGGTCCGGTTCAGCGAGGCAGCAGAGGCGAACAGGGAGGGAGAGAGAGGCCGGGAAAATAGAGAGACGGGAGCGGCAATTAATGCCGGTCCGTCAGGCGTGCTCTCTCGGCCTTCCTCTCGGCCGAGATAAGCGACGGCGAGGAGCGGCGCCGCCTGCGTCGGCGTGACGTCGCGAATAGAGCGAACAGGGGAAGGACGGCGACGGGGAGAAGGAAGAAGAAGGGGCCGGGCCGGGTTAGGCCCAGCTGCGCGGGCGGAAGAAAAGGAAGAAGAAAGAAGCGGGCTGGGCCCGCGGGGAGGGGAAGAAGAAAAAACAAAAAGAAGAAAACGGCCGAGGCCCGCGGGGAAGAAAGAAAAAGAAAAAGAAAAGGGCCGGGTCGGCCCGGCCCCGACCCGGCCCGACTCGAAATTTTTTTTTTTTAATTAATCTTCTCTAATAGACCCTATTAATGCAAAATGTGCCTAATTTCTATATGCAATGCATTTAAATTGAAATATTTTTATTTTAGGAATTAAAGAAAATTAACTCTTAAATCTTGTGCAATTAATTTTGGGCAAATTAAAAATAGGTGTCAACAGCTGCCCCTCTTTGAAGGTGAGCTCGCAGAGATTACGTTCAAAGATAAAATGGCACCTAAATTTGGCCCATACATGCTCAATGAATGCTATTTTTTGCGAGATCGTGAATCCCATTTTTATGATGCGATATAAGATGATGCATGCTAAAGCAAATAAAAACATACCTGGGGCTACTTACCTTGCCGAAGGGTAGCGTAATTCCAGATAGTTGATATTGTGTGTCGAGGACCCGAACCTATCTTCGGTCGCCTTGACGGGAAAAATGGTTTGTCTAGGACCCGAACCTTTCTTCGGTCGCCTTGACTGGATTTTGTTTGTCTAGGACCCGAACCTTTCTTCGGTCGCCTTGACTAGAGATTGCTTTGACAAAGTACCTGGGGGTCCTCGCCCGAGGATTTGATGGTTTGCCTGGTGGGTCCTCGCCAGCAGGTCTTGAAAAGGCTCAAACGATGAGCACCTGGGGGTCCTCGCCCGAGGATTTGATTGTTTGCCTGGTGGGTCCTCGCCAGCAGGTCTTGAAAAAGCTCAAACAATGAGCACCTAGGGGTCCTCGCCTGAGGATTTGATTGTTTGCCTGGTGGGTCCTCGCCAGCAGGTCTTGAAAAAGCTCAAACGATGAGCACCTGGGGGTCCTCGCCCGAGGATTTGTTGGTTTGCCTGGTGGGTCCTCGC